CACATTGTAGAGTTGATACCTCGGGTACAAAGACCGTGGTAAATTTTAACTGGGGAAATAGTTGTTGACAACATGCCTAGTAAATTTTGTGTAAATAACATGGTAATATACGAACCGCAGACTTGTCTTACGCACAAACACCATGATAATTTTTGACCGAGACAATAAAATGTTCAAAATACACCCCACGGTAATTCTACATAAATAGCATGATAACATACGCACAACAAACTGATAACTCACGCACAAACACCATGATGACTTTTGATCCAGAGCGTGCTTGAAAACTTACCCCTGGTAACTTCCGCGTAAATAGCATGTTACTGTACACATCATATACCTAATAACTAACGCACAAACATTGCGGTAACTTTTGACCCCGGGGTGGGAGGAGGAAGTTGCTTGAAAACATACCCCTCCTGATAACTTCTGCGTATATAGCACGGTAATACACCCATCCGTAGATTTGATAACTCACATACAAACATCATGGTAACTTGATCCCGGGGGAGGAAGTTGTTTGAAAACATACCCCTTGACAATTTATGTGTACATAGTGGGGTAAAATATGGATCGCAGGTGTGGTAACTCACGCACAAACACCACGGTAACTCTGTCATGGGAAAAAGTTGTTAACAACATACCACGGTAACTCGTGTAAATGGCACAATAATATACACACATCAGAGTTGATAACTTACTTAGCCCGCAACTAAATGCATGCACTAGAGAAAAGTTGAAATACCATTTTTCATGCTCGGTATTTTATATAAAAACAACTTGGTAACTTATGTGTCACAGACAAGACATGATAAGTTACGTAGCCCAGGCCTGGTAATTTTTTATACAAAAAATCGTCGTAACATATCAATATGGGATCTAGTTTTGAAGGTCTTGTCACAACCAACTTTTTATGTGAAAATGATTTTTCAATCAGACCAATAGTTTGAGCTACAAAACATTTGAAGTTTCAAAATGAGAAGAAACTAAGATAACATCAGCGTGTTGTCCTCTAGTGCATGCATGCATGCATGTGCATGTGGGGAGAAAGGTTGGAAGCAATTTTTAATACCCGATAATTTTTATGAAAACAACTTGATAACTTATGTGATAGAAACATAATAACTTATATAGCCCAATCCTCGTAACTTTTTACCCGATTTTTTTTCGTTGGAACATAACAACATGGAATCTAGTTTCGAGATCTCGTTGTGACGATTATTTTTGTGAAATCAATTTTTAATCAGACCGATGGTTTGAATTACAAAACATTTTAAAATTTCACAATAGAAAGAATCTTTTGCTGACAATATCTGTTGTCTTGTAGTTTGCATGCATGCATGGAATCACAAATAAACGTCTGCATAGCTTTCGCCCCGCGAATGGGATTAACAATTACGCTGTGTTTGGATATCTTTGCTGGAGGCCATTATATTGAATTGGTTTCAATTTCAAATCAGCAAGGAAACTGTAATGGACATGAATACCAATTTGCTTATTTGGATGCTCATTGTATTGGCTCATGGAATGTCACCGAGGTTTCAATACCAAATCATGTTTGGATGACAACTATGAAATTGCATAGTACTTTGTTCTATATGCATCAAATCACAATTTGTAAAATGTGTACTATATAAATTACGGAAACACTAACGCACACACATGTGAGCGTTACCTAACTCGCCCACATGCCTCGATCATCGTTCAGTGCCTTTTGCATGAATCTTGGCACGAAAAGGTTGATTTTGTGTGCCACGTAGGACAGGGCTGGTGTGTGGGCGTTGGAGAGTTTGCCCACACGCTTGCACCACGCTGTTTGCCAGCTGCGCTGTGTTGGCGAACTAGTTTCTGCCCACACAGCCAGCCACCTAGTTTATGCGCGTGTGGGCGAACTACTCGCCCACACGACACTCCTACGTTGTGGATGGCAACTGCAGTTAGACGAACGTGGCAACTAGGTAAACACACATGGCAACTGTGATTTTTTGCTAGACGGCAACTGCAGTTGCGCGTACGTGGCAACCAGATAAACACACATGGCAACTATGGTTGGACCACACATGGCAACAAGGTAAACACACATGGCAACTACTGTTTGACCATATGTGGCAAGTAGTTAATCACACACGACAATTATGGTTGGACCACACGTGGCAACTAGGTAAACACACATGTCAACTACTATTTGACCATATGTGGCAAGTAGTTAATCACACACGGCAACTACGGTTTGATTACACGCGGCAACTACCATAAATTAGATATGGCAACTATAGTTAACCAAAACAGATAGAATTGCCATACTTTTACAATTACACTTGCCATCCCGGATAACTACATCTGCCAACCAGGATGGTAACTAAATCGTCAACCCACGGTGTACCTAACGTAGTTGCGCAAGGATGTGTGGGCATTTTTGCTTCGTGCCACACGCGCGGGATGGAGATGAGCAGTACTTGTTGGCGTGTGGCACGAAGTAGCCGCGCCCACACGTGTGGGCAAATCTAATGTCCACCCACACACAGCCCGTGTGGCTGCCTCCTGCTCACACCTCATACGGTGTGTGGGCGCATGTCGTATATACCACACGTCGGCGTCCATAAATTAAATGGTTATATAGCAATATTTCAAACAGGTAAGTCCGAATTGCTCACATCAACACATAGTTTCCCTCAAAAAAAAGCTTCACCACCATATTTTCAGGCTTGGGACTTTCAGCAATGGCGGTACCTAGATAACACTTCGCTGTATTTGTTGCCTGACGGGATTTCTCAAGAATAGATGTACGCACGCTCAGCTTTAGCATGATCCGTCATTGCAGCTAGATAGCCTCACTCTCCTTTTTCTCATGCATGGTCACGATGCATGCATACTTATTATCTGACGAAAATGAACAAAAACAACACCTAGCTAACTGAAGATGTGCAGCAGGATTACATTGGCCAACATGATCGTTGGACTGTGTACACAGATTGCACAAACTGAATGAAAATAACAGCCTAGCTAACTAAAGAAGGAGAGGACAAAAGAGGGGATCTGGCGACAGAGCACATGTGGAAGGATCAGAGGAGATGGGGGAATCGACAGCAGAAGAGGAGGGGGTCCGGCGTCATGTAGGGATGAGATGACGGAGCAGAGGTAGAGGATGAGGAGCGGCGGTGGACGACTAGGTCCGGCCGTGGCAGCCATGGGAGGTGGACATGGAGCGGCAGAGGAGACTTGATGCCAGAGGAGATGGGGCGCCATGGGAGTAAGGGGAACGAACCGTGGCAGCGGGAATACCGGATTCGACGTAGGAGGAGGAGGACTGGCGAGAGGAGGGCACCGCCTCCGGTGTGCTGCCCTGGGTGCCGCTCCTCCAGCCCTTTGGTCAAATTCCCCTTCCCAAGGGAATTTGAGGATTTACCACAGGTTTGTTTCCTCTTTGAGGATTTGCCCCAGCTTTTCTGGTCATTGATTATTTGTCATGCCTTTGCTAGATTCTTGATGATTTGCCCCTGCTGATACGGGCTCACAATGAAATGTCCAAAATGCCCATTGTGAGACCCAGCTCGTTCTTGTTCCCTCGTCACCATCTCGCCCAAAAATGGGCACGGTGGCGGGCGGAAGCTACAGAGCGGCACGACCCGCTCCGCTTACTAGTCGTTGTCCCACGAAACAAGCCTCCAATGTGTACGAGACCACCGGATATCCCCAAAGTGGGCTAGGCATAGGAACTCCCGGTGTCCGTGGATGCGCGATGACTGGTGCTCACCGCCCAGGACGTCCTCGTCCAAGTGCAGCTGGAGGAGAGAGGCGAACTTGCTAGCAGCGTAGTGGTGGAGGTCGACGGATGCGTGCATCTGACGAGTTGCTGGTTGAGGTCGTCGACCTCGGCTCTCTTTCAGGCCGTCAATGTTAGAATAAATCCGAGGCTACCATAGATCTACCGAAACTTAAGCAATCACACGAGCACGACACCGAGATTTGTTAACGAGGTTCATCATCATGGCTACATCCTCGGGGCATGACTACGGGCGCTCCTCCCCACGACACCGTCACAATACCGCACCCCGGCCGCCCGGGCGCCGGCACAGCCGCCGGCTCCCCC